ATTAATTACTCTGTGGCAGACTAATAATGCTGCTGCCATTAATTCACACAAGTTCATTAGGAACTGTTTCCTCTCTCATCACAGAGCTTTGCTGGAAATATACGCTCGCCCTGCACTGAAATCCGGAGAGCACTCTCTCTTCGCCACCGCTTAGCTGTCTACATTTGTTTTGGCCAGAATCCAAGTCTCATGTCATTCTGACCTACTTACGATCATTATAACTCTCAACTGATGGGTCAAGTCTGTTCTGATAGCAGGGACAAAATGCTAAATACAAATAGTACAATGCTATTAACCAGATAATCATGCTTGGTTAGGACAAAGACTCTATATACCAAGACAGTAAACTCATATTGCTCTGAATGGAGACAGTGTGACACACAATATGTCAGAATACGTCCTTCCTTCTAAATGAAAAAGCCAATCGCCAAATGGTAAAGTCATCGCATCACTGCAACTGCCATTATAATCTCCGGTTCCCATAGAAACTATCAGTGTCAGTGTCATCAGTATCAGTATATATGCTTTCTTAATGCTGTTTGAAACAACTTTTACAGTATGGGACAGTTCCTATTAGATTTTGTTGCTGATTAGAAATATGTAAATCTGAGTTTGGCAAGTTTTCAGTATTTCCCCATTCAATTAGAAAGGAGTTGGTCTTGCATACTTAATAGCTGCCAGAAGGCTTTGGAAATATGGCTGCTGAGTGACGGGGTTAGGACTGCAAAACAAATACACTTCCTGTAATATGTATTTGCATTAAATATGTGAATCCAATGAAATTACTGTATTTTGGTGCAGATTCATCAGTAATATGGCTAAAACTAAGAAAATAATAAATCACTTCTGCTGTTGTTTATAAGGAAAATGTAATAAAATAAAATTGAAAATAGTAAAGTTTTTAATAAAAGGATTTTTTTTTAGTCTGAGGTGTAAATGGGTCATTAATTCAATTCCAATATAAAATCTGAAGCTTGAAGAAAAACCATCTGAGAAGCACCGCTCTAATCTGTCAACAAGGAGATTTTCTCATAATATGTCTGCTGCGACTTAGCCGAGGTTGTGTCGTGCCTCGGTAAATGCCATCGTCTCTTATTTAATTTGATCGGCGAGCCGGTATGCTATTCTAGAGTTATCAGTGTGTTAAGATGATACCATAACTGTGTTTGTACTTGATTAAGAAGTCTTTGTTCTGCGGTTGTCGCTGGGTAAATTAACTTGACAGAGTCACCTCAGGGTGGTGAGTAGCAGATAAAGATACAGTCAAATTACAGTGCTGCCTCTGCCGTGCGTGCGGAGGATCTGACCCAGCGGTGGATCGATACGGCTCTCCATCCAGCGCACAGCCAACCATTAATCACGCCATCAAGCCTGTCGGCCCCCATATAAGGCCATCTGCCTCAAAGGACTGTATACAAACACTGCACTACTCCTGTGCTGAGAATGCACTCGCACAATTCCCACCATCACATCATGCGAAATTCAGCCGCTAAGTGAGGGACGGATATAAGAGTGCAATCCCAGAAGCCTTGGGAGGTTCTTACGCCGACAGGATTACTGGCTTTCTCTGTTCTGGCTCACCTGACAAACCCATCTACTCACTCTGTATATGCACACAATAGGAGTTGGAGTGGAAATCGCTGGAGGGAAAGATATAGACAGCGAGAAAGGGGCAGGTGTGTGGGTGTGAGTGAGGAAGTGAGAGTGAAATTGAAAACAATATAATTCCTCATTGTCTTCAGCGAATTGGAACTAGTCTCCAAGATATTTCGGCCTCATCTTCATTGTGGTTGGTTGGTGACGTTTGGGTGCTTAAGCTCCCTACAAGCTTCCCGAAGACTGGTGTGGCACGGCAAAGCTCGATTCCTCCCCTCAAGCTCCAGCCTTGTGCTAATTACGCCCGGCTCCATGCTGATGAGATGTGCAGCTGTCAGGCCCTCCACGCGTGCTATAAATCACCGTTCCGTGGGCTTTGTTTATCTGATTGGGGGGAGCCGGCGAAAGCTCTCCTATCTCTCCGCCTCAGATCCAGCCCGCTCTGCTTCTTTCCTCTGTCTGCCAGCAGGTTCAATCTACACGCTCAGACAGAGTCAATTCTCCACCTCACTGTCGCAGGCTCTAGATCCGCCGCGTGGTCTCAAATTGAATTGCGGATGCAGGCTGTGGCATCAGGCCATGTTACCCCACACACCGTCTTCTGTCATCACACTCCATGCACAGATAATGCCAGAACAGTGAAGCTCAGAGATTCTGTTATTATGGCTCTGTTAAATTACTTTCACATGTTTAGGACTCTTGCCAGTCTCATTTTAGACCAGAAGAATGGAGTTTTCTTCTCGCTTGAAAGACGTGCCTGCCGCATATGTGCCATATATTATAATTGCTGACATTGGTGATATTGTACTTTGTGTAAAGGGATAGTTCACTCAGAAATGGTATTTCTACCATCACTTATGTTGTTCCAAACTGTAGGACTTTCTTCTGTCAAACATGCAAGAAGAATGGTAAGCAAAACTGTTTGGTTGCCAACATTCTTCCATAACTGGTAATCAGAACTGTATGTTTACAAACTCTCTTTCAAAACCTGTAATCAAAACTTTTGGTAAGAAAAACTGGTTGGTTTCCAGCATTCTTCCAAAACTGGTAAACTGTGTGGTTACAAACTTTCTTTTAAAACTAGTACGCAAAACTAGTAAGCATTGGTTACCAACATTCTTTCAAAACTGGTAATCAAAATAGTTTGGTTACCAACATTCCTCCAAAATGGTTAATCAAATCTGTTTTGTTATTTTATAAAGAAAGAAATCATTCAGATATAGAACGACATGAGGGTAAATAAATTATAACAGAATGTATAGTTGTTGGTGAACTATCCCTTTAAGAGTTTGATTAGATATAATACAAAGAGTACTATCCAAAAACGTCTTAGAGGTCTTTTTTAATTCTTGATGCACTTCAGCAGCTTTTTGTTATCAAGAACCATTTTTCATTTTGTATAGAGTACATTGGGCCCTTTTGAGATTAAAAAGTTATTGACGGTTAACTGTCTCTTAAGTGTGCGAAAATTGTACCTTTAGGGTTACAACAGCTTGTCATTGAGGCAGCACCTTCAAGGATACACCTTTATATTTTATCTATCCCTTAAGGTTCTTTAAGGTACTAATATGGACCCGTTAGGAATAGATACCATACAAAGGTGCCCCTTTGAGGGTATTACCTCAGTGACAAGATAAAGGTCTTTGAAATTCAGTCCAGTATGGAAAAACGGTAATAACTGGAAGTGCTTATTTATATGTAGAAATACCAGTTACGCTGTTTGTTCTAGTGTTTTAAAACGACTAGAAATCCAAAACAGAAACCCTGTTTTGATGCCTTTTTAGAGTGTTTAATTTCTATTTCCCGTTCAAGTCCTTAGCGAACCGTAATGGAATAAGTGGAGTGCTGGATTGATGTCCGTTTGGTTAACCTCATGTTCCCTTGGACCTGAAAGAGGAAATGGGCGGGAACCCACATTAACTCTGTTACTGGTGTTTAATTATATTCTCTAGGCCGTGTCGTATTAAAAGCTTTGCTTGCCTGCTGGACCCTGGCTGTCCAGCGGCTCGGATAGTGCCGTGTAATGTAGATTATTAATTGCCCTGACACTGTCACAAAGCGTTTGTAGAAAACAAACATCCGAACCCGATCTTTATTAGAATCACAGTCCTCTCAAAGCAATATGTTGGTTTTTATTGTTTTGTTTGTAATGATGTAAAGCTGTTGCGGTGTTTCACCCAAGGGAAGATCTTTGGCTTTGCTAGGGAAAAAACTCGGCTATCATAATGTGTCTGTAGACTAACACTGCATTCATTTGAGTTATCTGCATGCACAGTTCACCAGCGCACACACACTCGCACAAGCATGGGTAAGCAACAGAAATGTGCTGCTACGTGCCAGCACACACTAATACACACTCTTTGGTTATCTTAGCACACAGCTCTCTCTATGGTGGGGAACCTTGTAACTGTTCATGTGTGATTATTACATTGGTTTCCATGGTGACCGAGCAGAATGCGAGTAACAATGCGTTTGAATGCCAGCCGAAGACCTTTGAGGAAACGAGCGCAGATCCCTCGTAGCAGTCCAACAGACACAGTTTAAGCCACAATCATACATCTATTCTTTAGTCTTTTACAAGAAGAAAAAACTCCTTGAACAAGTGGTAATTGGTTTTGCCTAATCTAGTTTCTTTTGACACGGCCTGTATTTAATTATTGAGTTTGTACAAGTAAAGGCCTCTTTTATGTTGCAGAGTTTTAGTGGAATTCAATTTAATATTTAAAAAAAAATGGAAGTAGGTACATTTATATTCAGAAATGTCCAAAAACTTTTTTTGTACAACTTATTAAATAATAAACTGGTAATATTTTACAATAACTATTAATCTATTAACACATTAAGCATGATGAACTAACAATAAACAATAGACTACTTTTACAGCTTTTATTAATCTAAATGTTTAGCTGTATAAATTAACATGAATTAACAAGAAACAATATTAAAACGAACATAAACAAACAATCAAATAATTATATGCTTTAAAATGTTATTTTTACATTGTGAAATACATTATGTGAATAATTATTATTATTGATATTAAATTGAACAAAACTAATTTTATTATTTTACCTGTATATTAGCTTAAAGATTCCACTAAAAACAAAAATAGTCCTCTAAAGCCAGGCTCACACTACAGGAGTTTTAAAATCCTAACCGATTATGAAATTTGGCTGAAGCACATACATAAGGAGAGACTTCACAGATTTTCTTCTCTCAAATCTTAAACATGCACACACTTCAAGATTTGAAAATCATGGCGCATCACAGACTACAAAATATTATTAAAATTATCATGTCAGTGGGAGCGCCTCACGTGATCTCACACAGCAGAACGTCATTGGCCTTTCAGCAAATAATGTTTATATATGTTAGCTAGCATGCTAGCAGCTTTCTACACTCACCTGATACATTCAAACCTGAGGCGATTTCACCCCAGCGCTTCTCTTTGTCCTTACGGTTGTGGCACATTTTTGACACATTATACAGACAGTTGTGTTATTGCAAAACATCCACAAGCCATTCCTCCATCTCCACTTTCCAATGAACCCATACAGCAGCTTGTTTTGCAGTTGCGTACTAGCTTTTGTGAAAAATAAATATCCCAAATATCAAACATGTTTGATTTGATCGGTGAGGCCCCGAATTTGTGTCCGAGCAGTTCGGAAGGTGCAAGACGTAATCTGTGAATGCCTCACACTACCAAATAATCCACGCCGAACATCGGAACCGACTGAGGTCCTCAAGATTTTTTCTCTGATTCTCGGGAGGGGGAAATTGGGGATAAATTGGCCTAAAACTCCTAGTGTGAGCCTGGCTTAAGATGTACAACATCATCAGCCTAGCAACAAGATAAACACTGTAGCTATATTACATTAATATTGAAGTCAACTGATGTGATTTTCACTACAGTAGTAGACACAAGATGGCGGCAGTTGTGTTTGTATGAAACAAATGAGTATGAGTGTGATACGAGAGACATGAAAACAGACTCTCATGGTAGTTTAATTATTTAAAGTTTTTGCATCATTACAAAACTGCATAATCTTATTTGTAAGTCACATTTGATCTGCTTTATGGCCTATCGGTTCGGTTTAGGGGTGGGACCTTAATGCTTATGTTTTATTTTCTAAAAATGGTATGTTGCCATATGAATCTTCTTCATGAAATCAGATTGGAATTTAAATTAGCACAGTTTAAAATTCCTGGGACACTCTAGACGATTTTCAAATCTTTTAAAACCATGGGAGACCACAGGCATGAAGACAGTTTCAACCGTTTTTATCATTTTCAATGCTCCTGTGGCTCAGTGGTAGAGCATTGCGTTAGCAATGCAAAGGTCGTGGGTTCAGTTCCCAGGGAACACACATACTGGTAAAAAAAATGTGTAGCCTGAATGCACTGTAAGTCGCTTTGAATAAAAGTGTATGCTAAATTTAATTTAACCGATTTTTAGCCTTATAATCCCCTGAAGGCACACACTAGATGATTCGACCAGACCGCGAGACCACACACTTGTTAATTGTAAGAACGATTTCACAGTGAAACGAGATGTCACGGAGACTCGAGAGGGCAAACGTGACTAGAGAAGAAAACACACAGAGGACAATCGACTTTGTCAACTGGTTCTCCTTCGTTCAGTTGTACACAGTAATGAAACCAGAATTCGAAGCTGACCATGGCATCAGCCTCTCTCTCAAGACCCTGTCTATGCAACTTTCTTCGTATAAAGGCATTGCATGCTCAAATATGCCACCTGCAGATGTTAGTAGAAACCCCCCTGACTGCCCCTACCCGCACAGAAGAGCAGCGCCTGCTGCACACAAAAACAACAGGCCCGATAAAGCTGGGGCTACAACAATATGGCTGTCAATCACACAGTGTGGGCCTGTGTACGGTGAAGGTTCAGCTCAGTCAATCGACTGTGGGCCCCAGTAGACATCAGCACCATTGGAGCATCTAATGTGGATTATTGTGCTTTGTCGGCCAGTGAGGGCTCAAAGCAGGGAGCAGCAGACAAGACTTCTCTTGCTTCAGTGTGCTTGAACTCTAAAGTGTCTCTTGACCCCAGATGGCAGATGAGACAGAGCTATAAAAAGTCCAGGTCATGACTGTAACCCCTGTGGTGGTGGAGCGGTCAAGACCGCTGGACTCGTCATATTGAAACTGTTTGTTTGGCTCTTGTGTTTTCTAATCTATGCCAGAACTCGATCAGTGGCTCTTGCTTTCACAGCTCAGAAGCAGTCTGTTCGTACAACATGCGGTGGCTTCAACCGACATTGATTGCTTCTTATTTTGCTTTATTGTTAACAGATCAGGAACATAGTCACAGGATTTTTTTTTCTTTCTCCTTTCTATAAAGTTAATATGACATCCTTCTTCATTAAAATCTGAAAATTTTATAATTGCCAAACATTCACCTGCCTTTGTTTTAACAGCCTAAATTGAGCGAGCGGTTCAATTATCTTGAGAACCACGCCTCATATGTTAACAAGGTGCATCTGTATTCTTGAATCCACCACCTCCTGTGTTCAGTTGTTTGATTGCACAATAAATATCTCTGACTTTGAGAGTTCTCACAGCAAAAGCTGTCACAAAGACCAAGGAGCTTCCTGTGAGACGTCAAGATGAAGTTCTTAGAGGTGTAAAAAAAAAAAAAAAAACTGGAGAAGTTTATCAAAAGACTAGCAAAGCTTTTAACCTTCTGCAAAGGAACACAACACCCCCACAATAATATATAATAATTTAGGCTACATATACAAACAAATTCTGGGGTCAGTAAGATTTAAAAAAAATAATAATATTATTATTTACAAAGTTACAAATAATTTTGATTTCAAATAAATTCTGTTCTTTTGAACTTTCCGAATCCTGAAAAAAGAAAATATATCACGGTTTTCACAAAAACTATTAAGCAGCACAGCTGTTTGTTTTTAAAATTGACAATAATCAGAAATGTTTCTTGAGCAACAAATCAGCATATTAGAATAATATCTGAAGGATCATGTGACACTGAAGACTGAAGTAATGACTGCTAGAAATTCAGCTTTGCATCACAGTAATGATTTACATTTTAAAATATATTAAAAGAGAATATGGCTATTTTAAATTGTAATAATATTTCACAATAGTACTGTATTTTGAATCAAATCAATGTACCTTTGGTGAGCATAAGAGACTTCTTTCAAATACACTGAAAAATCTTATTGACCCCAAGTTGTTGAGTAGTAAATATATCTCACATGTATGATAAGCAATATCAGCTATAGTAAATAATAAAGTTGTGATTACCTGTCACATTCGGTAATATTTTATTTGTTTTTGCTTCCACTCCACACATTCACATCATCATCTAATAATAATAATAATAATAATAACAATGTGCTAGATATGAAAATATTTACAATTATATATAAAATAACAATTTCCAGATAATATTTTAATCATTGTTTTTAGTACAATGACAGTATGCTATTTAATTTTAAACAACACACTTACTATTTTCCTCTAGCAATTTAATTAATTTTAAAAATATATAGCTTCCATTATATTGTAGGCAGGGGGTCCTTTGCTTCAAAACGTTTTGAAAACCCTAAGATCAGAGGAACAGAACAAACTGTTGTATAACTGTAAATGAAATCATTTTATTTCAGACACAAGTTGAAGTTTAATTTGGTTGAGTATAGCTTTGCAGCACATCAAAGATAGAAACAGGGTGTGTAGTAGCAGTGTAGTCTAAGTATGAACTTCCAGAAATAAAAATTGCACAATCCTGAAAGCGCTACAATCAGGCCATCCTACCAGCCCAAGCAACCAGACAAAAAGGGCATTTGTCTGAGAGATGACCATGAGCCGGCTACAACACTGACAGAGCTGGAGAGATTTTATGCTGAAATGAAGAACCTGTCTAGGCATCAACAATTTCTTCACAGATTTGGCCTCTTTGGGAGAATGGCTAAAAGGAAAGCACTTCTGAGGAAGGCCAACATTAAGTCATGCCTGGGGATTGCTAGAAGCCATGTGACAAAACCTGAAACCCTTTGAAAGAAAATGTTGTGGTCTACTGAGTTGTGGCCTGAAAAGAAAGTGCTATGTTTGGCACAAACTAAACACACCAAGACCTTGGAAAAAAGAAACACTTGTTGCCAGCTAGAGCAGTGCGGATGGAGCCCAAACACAGGCAAATCCTTCAGGAGAACTTGTTTTAGTCAGCACACGATCTACATTTAGGGTGAGAATACCATTTTTTTTTTTTTACCAGGACAATGACCCAAATCACGCAGCACAAAATGACGAAACAACTTGAAAGTAAAGTTGGCACTCACAAACGCCCCAGTCAGAGCCCAGACCAGAAATCTGTGGTATGACCTGAAAATTTCAATCCGATGACACTCTCCAAGTTATTTGGCAGAAGAATTTACATAAAAGAATGGGCAAAAAGCCTTTCGTTACAAAGAAATTAGCATTCTTGGACACAAAATATGAAATATGTGTTGTGAAGAGAGCAAAAATGAGATGCAACAAGAACAAAAACATAAAAAAAAAAAAAGTAGCTAAACACGCTCTGAAAGCACCGTAAATAAATCTGGGACAATAAATGTGTCCGTATGGGAAGGTTGGCACTTGGATTTGATAATTTGGTGTGTCAGGTCAACTGATAGGACCATTAATTAAGGTGAATTAGTGTGTCGGTTGTGTGTATTGTCCATGTGTGCCATCTGTGTGTATGCGAATGTGTGCGTGTGAGCCTGCATCCATCTGTTTAGGAAGCGTGGGAGCTCACAGTAACGAGTTGTGTCTCGGCTCATCGGCCCACGCACAGCTTGGGTCACTGTGGCACCCAGCACATGTAAAATCACCTCCATCGCGATCTCCTCTCACTTCCTGCCTCTGCTTGTCTTCCAGCCATCAGCATGGACTGTAAATAAGAGCGTGAAATCAGATGGATATCTTTCCTTTACAGTGTAACTGCATTAATTGAACAACTTTTTTGATGAAAAATATATTTTCTTATACCATTTTATGTTAGTGTTACCAATTATTTTTCATATAACCAATATAATTATTGTCTATTTTGTGAGCAAAAACGTGTAATAATGGGAGACCTGGTGACTTGCTGCAAATTAAATAAAACAGCTTTTATTAGGCTTCAGATTGCATGATATAAACACATTTTTCAAAAGTATTAGATATTTCTTCATGTGCAAAACATTTTCAATGAGGCAAATGCACATTTCAATGAATTCCATGTGATTTGCGGATGAGTAATGATTTTCAATGAAAACAAAGGCCTAAACTTTTAAATATCAAACTATTTTTTAAAAACAATTATCAGACATGATCAACCATTTAAAGGCTTTTATAGTTTAAAGTTATATACTTAAAGGGGTGGTTCACTGTTTTTTTTCTAGGCTTGATTGTGTTTAAGGGGTGCAGTCTAACATGTGTTAATGCTTAGTTTTTAAAAAAAA